CCTCTTTGTCATCAGCATGGGAAGATCTTTTTCTTGATTCAGATTCCTGTGCTTTTTCTACAGGCTTAAGACTTTGCTCCTTCACCTTTTCTCTTGAGCCATTCCGATCATCTGTCCTCTCCTTTCTCGAATGCCTCTCATCATGCCCCCTACGATTCCCATCACCCTTCTCAACTGTCCTAATCTTACCACTCTCTAAGTCCTTATTGAAGTCTGTCACAGAACTATTTTTACTCTCATGTCGATCATGCTTATCAGGTTTCATCCTGGACTCCCTACCCTGTGAGTCATCTTTTGATGTTTTTTTGACATTTTCTTTATGGAGGTCAGGTTTCAATGTGCCTACAGTATCCTTCAGCCTAGAGGCAGTAGTTCCATCTGGCAGATTTTTATCGGCACTACTTTCAACATTCTTTTGTCTATTATAACTAATATCACTAATAGCAGCATTGTTGTTATATTTGGGCTCAAGTGAACTGGTTTTGCCCAGATCACTCTCTAAAATTGTCTGACTTCTACCATGCTCTTCAAGCGCTACCAAAGAACTGTCATTTGTAGTGGCATCCTGCCTAACATTTGAACGCTTTTTGACAGTTGAGTGCTGAAGAATAGCATCTTTCCCAGAATTTGGCATAACAGAACTCTGAATATCACCATCTAAATCGTCATCATCACTTGCATAATTTGCAAGACCTAACACATTACCAGGTGAACTGGAACTGGATTTTTCACTGACATCTTCAGTCTCAGATTCCTTAGACTTGGCCGGAATTAGAACCTTTGCAGAAGCCTTGAGAGCTGAAACTGCTGGGGGAGATGGCAATAACTTATGGTTTGAAGTCAGTGTGCTCTGTTCAACTGTAACAAATGACATAATTAATTAAATTCCTTGTTTATTTTCTTTAAGATTAGAAAAGGACAGAATGCTAGACTAAAAAAGCTATTTTAAATACATAAGATCAAAGACAAGGATCTGTAATTATGGTACAATTACCTTCAAGTGTCAGATCATCTTCAGTAAGAACTTTTGTAGCAATTTCATCAAACAGATCATCAGTAACCTGTCCAAAAACATAGGAGTTAAAAATGCAGTATATGCGAGTTAAATTAGCAAATCTATCATTTTCTAAACACTAGAAACCTTTAAGAGAACTTCAGTTAGAACACGCTTTATTTCCTGGTTAATTGCTGCAGTCCTAGCTGCTTCCACTTGATCCTACCACACAAAAAAAAAAAAAAAACACAAAAAAGACATGGTATGTAAGTTTCCATAAGGAAATGACGTGCATCCAAATAGCTATTATCATGGGATGAATATATGGTGGGAAAAACACAGGATTTTTCAGAAGAACAGTTCACTAAGGGGAAGAAGTGGGGCTTCAGATGCAAAATGAATAAACTTAGGTGATAGAATAAAACCTCATCATCCTCTTCTTCAGTTGATCTAGAAGAATCGATGCTCTTGCTATCAGCTTGATCTCCCTTCCCAAAAGATCTATCAACTCCTTCATCCTCAATGGATTGCGTCTCCTCCTTAGGATGGTCCATAGATGAACTTGTGATGACTGCTTTCTTAATTTCCTCTCTAAGCCAATTAGGCACTGAAGCCTACCATAAATTTCAGGAGAGTAGAAAAAATTAACAAGCATGCCACTCACCATTGACATATTTACAATGGCAAAATTTTACCTTTTTGGGGCGCTCAGAAACTGTAGAAACTCCATATGCATCACCAGGGAAGGCTGCAGTAGGGTGACCTACAGTTCCTGCAGTGAGACCAAAGGGGGGACCAGCAGATGGAATTGTTGGCTGGAGGCTCAGTCCAGGAAAACTGCCAAATGAAGGTGGAGCATGCCCAGGAACAGGAGAGGGTATTGCCATGGAAGGATCATGCTGAAGAATGAAACATATGTCAGAAAATTCATATGATGGCCTTAGAAAAGAAGAAAGACTCAAGAAACCAGAATTAACACCTGTGGTCCTGATGGAACTGGAAGACTAGAGGGATAACCTACACCAGGTGCAACAGAAGTAGACCAGGTATTCATGGAAGGCACTGTAGTAGCAGGGTCATGATAAGAATAGCTGGGCTGCAGGTGTGGACCATGATCAGAATTAAACCCGGGTGCAAACTCTAAAGGCTGGTCAGCAAGATTGGTTGTTGGGTCAGCAGACTGACTGCCATATACAAAGGGCATTGGCTGCGATGGTTGCATGTGATATTGTTCTTCCTGAGCTGCAGAACCTTCATTGCCTGTCATTCAAGTAAGTTGTCAAACGGCAAATCAAAAGATCAAATCAGGGGGAAAAATCCTTGGGAGAAATAAGGGTCCCCAATTGGCTACTAGGAATCCGAGTGAGAATGGAGATGTAACCAGCCTCTACAATCTTTCTCCATTCCAGAATATATTAGTGGTAATAGTTACTCCCTCTAATGTCAGCAAAGGCTGAGTAAGGTAGGAGACATCTTATTTAAAAAAAATTAGAAGAAATAATATCTCCTGAAAACCATATATACCCTCCAACTCAGAGCATCTGTATAAGGGAGATGTAGTTCTTGCCGACTAATATTTCCCTTTTACTGGAGATGGTCAGCACTCAATCAATAATGTATTCTTGCTGTACTTAATAAGACTTCTTCAGCTTAAAAAAGAACACAATCCACTTGGCGGAGTAATATAATCAACGTATTTGAAAACAAAAAAAAGGAGGAGAGCCACTTAACCAGTTACTATTAACCACCTAAGGACATCCCGATTAATATGGTTGAAATGATTGCTGCACAAAAAGAAACAACCTCCAATTCTAATTTTCAAGATACTCTAATGATCTGTATGGAAGGTCCTACATTTGATAATGCTAAAAAAAATCCAGAATGTAAAATTAAAGAGTAAATTTGAGTTCTGTAACAGCAGTTGTGGAACAGAAGCTTCACATGCAAAGTCAATACCATGTGAATTATTACCTGTAACAGAAGAATAACTAGAAGGTACCTCCTGCTGATGAACAGATGGACTAGTAGATAGGTTTCCTTGTCGATGAAACACAGAATTTGTGTCCACAGCTGGCATTCCATCTCTAACAGCATGATGAGCATAGGAAGATGAAGTCTCCTGGGGACGAATTCCCGGTGGCTGGTGAGTTGGAGTACCTGAAACTGGAACCTGTTGATAGCTGGATCCAGAAAGTGATTGATGCTGAGTACCAGAATATTGAGAATCAACGTTCTGGGGATACTGATCATGATAATGACTTTGCTCTTCTACTCTGCCTGCCGGAGGAAACTGCAACTGTTGATGTTGATTCTCCGTTGACGCTCTCGCATCTACCCATGCCTTAGCCTTGGCTTCCCAATCTTCTTGATTATTATGGGCTACCATTACAAAACAATCAAATTCAATCCAACGTCATCAACCCACAAAAGTGAAAGCTCCTGGAAATATTTTGGCTTTACACAAGAGTAAAGAAGCAATTGAATAATAACACAAATAGGACCTCATTTTTGCCTCCTGCAAGCACGACTACAAATAATTTGGTCGAAAACATTAAGCGGACGACAAAAACATAATGGGAAACAAAGTGTTTTACTGAATATGAATTCAACGAATCAAGTTGTGGTTGATATGAAATTAAAATGTGGGAAGAAAATTACCTGGGTAATCCCAACCTTGGTTGTTTGGCCAACTTGGAGCAGCTCCCCACTCCTACAAACATTTATGCTTTGCGTTAGAATATCAACATGCAACAACATGCCCCAAATACAAATTCAAGTGGTTGTTTTCAGACCAAGAATAATAATGACTCTAATTAACCCTCATATCAAACATACACATCAAAGTTCAAACCAGCCAAAAAGGTCCAGAAATCAATTTATCAACATCAGAGCCCATATGCTACATTCAAACAAACATACATACATAGAGAGAGAGTGTGTGTGTTTGAGGCATACCTGGGTGTGCTGAGGATAAGAGTGAGGTGGAGGAGGAAGGGGCGGAGGGGGAGGGAGGTGAGAAGGCAGGTGAGGCCGAGATGGGGGAGGAGGAGGAGGAAAGTGGTGGTTGGGGGGGTACGGAGGAGGATAAGGGTGAGGAAGGGGCGGCGGAGGATAAGAACCCGGCGGAGGGAGATGGTCGGCGTGAGGTGGTGGAGCCCACTGGGGTTGTTGAGGCGACAGGTACTGGAAGTGGTTCGAGTACCACTGTGGTCTCGGTTGCTGCTGCTGCTGGTATTGGTAGGGATCCGACGTGGCCGGTGGCTGCGGCCGCATGTACCGCTGCTGCGCTTGGTACGAATCCATGGCCTTCCCTTTCGGGTTTTGGAGCTTTTTTCTGTTTTTCTTATTATTAATTTCGTTTTTCTGTTTTTTTTGTTTTGTTTTGTTTTGTTATTTATTTCATGCGAGGGGGGTTTCGATTGGAAACGAGGGTTTGCACCGTGCACAAGTGATGAAGGCGGAGGAGGGGCAGCGACTTTTCGAAGGCCCTTTGATTTGATTTCATGTTTAATTGTTTCCACTCCCGCGGGCCCGCGGGGGTTCCATAACTTGGGCCTTTTAAGGCTATGACTTGGCCCTTTTTGGCAGTCATTGGAGCCCGTAGCGCTCTCTATTGCTAGTTTTCAGGTCTAAATCTGATTTCATTTCAATCAAAACCCAAATCCAATTAAAATATGTGCAAATTATAAAGATTAATTTAGGTGAATTTACATAAAATATTTTGAAAAACAATAATAATTGTACCACATTTATTGAACACTTTGCTACCCCAGTAATATACGTATAGAAGTGTGGTGTGATCAGCAATGTGGTCAGTAAATGTAGTACAAATAGCAGTAATATACGTATAGAAGTGTGGTGTGATCAGCAATGTGGTCAGTAAATGTAGTACAAATAGCAACAAGGTACTCGAAGTTAGATTAGAAACTTAACAATTCCTATATTACAGACTTCACACATTCACCAGCAAAGTTAAATCAGTCACAGAAAGTGGGAACCTAGGCCATTAGCGAAATAAGCTGGTATATTCATAGTCGAGATCCAATTTTTGCTATAATTTCATCTGTTCATTTTATTCGGTTCTACATATCAACAGTGAGTACACCCACAAATTCTATAACAATTTTGTTGTACAAGTATGTTTCCCTGAGAAAAATAAAATGGCAATCCGGTTGTTCATCCAGCCGCAATCCAATGCATGCATCTGTGCTTTTTCAAATTACAGATGTTCCAAAAGGGAGAGTATTATGCTGCAGATTCTGTTTGAAGATGGAGATGGCATCACTACAAAAGCTTCAGTGCTGCATCATCTATAGACCTTCCTTCACAGCTTTACCCGCTACAAGTTTTCATTTCAAAAGAATTGTATGGTTCAGCAGTAAGAAAGTTGCTTGGACCTCCATCATCCATAATGCATCTCATACAAAATTAATCGAACAAACGAGTTCAACTCGTAGTGTTATGATACTCCTAGATCATGCCACGGCATCAGCTTGTCTTCTAGTCAGTCGTGCATAGAGGCCATCATCAACAACAAGCTCCCTATGACTGCCAGTCTGTGCAACACAAAAGATATATTCAGATTACATAATAAAATAACAGGTGCAAAACTTACTAAGCCGAGGTTGAGTGGTATGTACATCAAGCTCTCTGCCCAAGCCCCATACCCCGAAAGAAAGAAAGAAAAAACTAATTAGTGCTCTAGTATGAGAGATCATGGCCCATAAGGCTTTGTTGAAGTGGGCAGGAGTAATCCAAGTAGGGTTTTGAAAGTCCAATGTTGCTTCTTACCAATATAAGAACAGAAAACATTCCAAAATATATGTCGTACAATACTTGTAAGAGAAAGGCCAAGTTTCTAACCTCAACAATTCTACCAGCATCCATTACCACTATCCTGTCAGCAGCTTGTATGGTAGAAAGCCTGTATAAAGTGAGTAGGCCAACTTTTAGAATAACCCATTAAGACAATCAAAAGAGAGGATATTAGAGAACCAACCTGTGTGCAATAACTATAACAGTTCTCCTCGTTGCCTTGTTACTTCTGACAGCACGAAGAACCCCCTGGATATAAGGGAGAATGTCACATCAAATTACTTATCCTTTTAAACCCTTGTGGTATTGGTGTGAGGAGCTCATTGCCAGAAGTGCTTACCTTGACATTGTGTTCACTCTCTGCATCCAGTGCACTAGTGGCTTCATCGAGGATCAAAATGGTTGGGTCCCTAAGAATAGCCCTGGCAATGGCAATTCGTTGCTTTTGTCCCCCACTGAGTAAATCATCATCAACAAGCGTATGATAACTATTGGGCAGGGCTAAAATGAAATCATGTGCATAAGCCTGCTTGGCAGCCCATTCAACATCCTCCTGTGTAATATCTCTAGTACATCCGTAACTAATGTTTGAACTGATATCCATCCGGAAAAGTTTGGGTTCCTGTTTACATTCAAATTGTAAGAAGAAAAAATCTACTTAATCTGCTAACTTTCATGTTGGAAACAATAATACAAACCTGTCCGACAAATCCGATTCTTTCCCTCCACCACTTGACGTCTAACTCTTGTAGAGGAAAACCATCAATCAAAATCTGCAATGAAAGAAATGTATATTAATGGGCAAATGCGCTAAGCAAAATAATAATTCAAAGACCAAATTTCAGCACCATCAATCCTTCCATCTTTTTTCTACTTTTGTGGTAACACATTGATGGATGGGTTAAAAAGTATACCTGACCATTTGTTGGCTCATAAAGACGGAGCAAAAGATTCACCAGTGTGCTTTTTCCACTACCACTAAGACCAACCTATGAAAATTAGGAGGTTTCAAAGTTAAGTGCTCAAAATTTACCAGGGAAAATAAAAAACCAATAAAGAGAGTCAGCAACACTCACAATAGCAACCACTTCATTAGGCTTCACCGATAAGCTGATGCTTTGCAGTACAGGGACCTATTCAAATGTCTAGTTATTTTCTTTTGGAATTACCAACCTTAACAACTTTAAGCAACAAAAGAATTACATAACTATTTTAATCAGCTCGCCTAGTCAAACGAAACAGGTGACATATAAAATGGTGTACTATAGGAATTTGGGGGTACAAATTTTTAATATAGTGTTAATGCTAGGTAAACTTAATTAGTGATCTTTATAATTATACCACTAAAGACATAGAAAAAAGAAAAAAAAAGTGGAATGGGAGATACTCTAGTGTGAGAGAAAGTAAGCAGCTTCTAGTTAAAAAGTTTCCTTGCATAGGTACTCTACTCTTCATACCGTCAAGACAGTAAGAGACTCCAACACTTTTAGGGCAGTGTATGGTGGACTAGGAGACAGGGAAAGACCACTTTCAGGACATTTATTTCTATTTTAGCCACACTCACATTGTTCTCAAGTGAAGAGCATGAGGGATATCAGAAACATGGTTATCATAAACAGAACTTAGATGTTTGGATAGGAAAGATACCGTTGGTCTTGTAGCATAATGAAAAGAAACATTTACAAATTCAACATGTCCAACCAGTCTTTGCAACCTTGATCCTGCGCACAACAGAAAAAGTGAAATAAAATTAAACAAATAAACATCATCATACAAATTCCAGACATGCCAATACTGCAAGACATAAACAAATACACCATAAAAAGCAACAACAAAAAATTATTTAACCTAAATATGACATGAAACAACATATTGATGTAAAACGTTCCACTGACATTCATAATTTTCTTGCCTTTTGATATAAATTGGTCACTAGGCAAGAGATCCATTAATTGGAAGACTTTTTCACTTGCCCCAACAGATTGCATCAGAGAGGATAAATTGTCCCCCACCCACCATGTTGAATAAATTAGCCACTCGCTGTACAAGATAAACTTCGTAAGTTTCTCTGCTGTAATATGACCAGCAAGAATAGACATTCCTCCCACCAGCACAGCAATGACCTAGAAAATTGTGTGTACCAATAAAATAAGTCAACTACAAGGACTAGTAAGATCAAGAAAATAAAAATGAAACATTCTAGATTTAAAATTAAATTATCAATTCTTGTGTGAATCATGAACGCAGAAAGTGGTTATTTTGAATACTAAAATCATATCTCTTTGAAAACATTGAAAAAGCAAGACCTGTGTTGAGTGATAAAGAGTGTTGAAGCTCAAATTCCAAAAACCATATGCAGCACTTTGTCGCAAGCTTATGTCAGCCAATTTCCCCAGCCACAGCTTGTACCTATACAACATACATAAATAAAAACATCTCTGTCAACCACTATGAAACATGAGTACAGCGTTCCTGCTTGCCTATGCTAAATTTATTACATCCGTTGTAACAACAAATGCCAAAATCTAAAAGACGGATGAAGGATGCAATTACGTAGGATCTACACCTTCCAAGTTCTTGTTTTTCTGTTCCATAGACACGAACAGTTCTCACCAAAGAGAATGTCTCTTGCGCAACCTACATTACCAAAATCGGGACATTATTTAAATCACTTAGGAACCAAAATCTTCAACAAATTCATATTAATTTTTTTTTTATTATACCTCATTGGCAGAAGCAGTGAACTCCTGAGTTAGCTTTGCTGCCTTTTTCTGGTACCTACAACAAAGGTAAAAGTTTATGCCTCACTTTCTTACAGCAACATTGAAAATATCCGAAAGAATAGGACTCAAGAACAACAAGCATTTGATAGACATCTTGTTGTTCTGAAACCACAACCCTATACTTTTCCCAAGCACTACCTATTCCTTGTCCTCGTAAAACGAGTGGCTTAAACCAAACCACATCTAATAATTCACATCCACGGGTATACTGATTTCTAATGTTACCCATCCTTTTTTTTGCCATACATCCACTTCATAGACTTATATTAACCGATGAATTAACAGTATTTTGCAAGGCATTAACAAATAGAGGAAGAATAACTTATGAAACTGTGAAAAAGTTTTACCGGCCATAAATCAGCATAATTGCTGCTAAAGTAGAGCATATCACCAATATAGATAAACCAAGAGGCCATGACAAAATTAACAAGTAGATCATCGCACCTGTCCCCTGAAAAGGAATAACGCAAAGGCAATTTAAATCTCAGAGTGTGGGCAAACTCCGAATGGGTTGTAATTTAATAGTGGTTAAACCAAACTATGATATTTTAAGTTGTGAATAAACCTGAAGAACATTGCGTAATATCATATTCAGATCATTTCCAATAACCCGTGATACTTGCTGACAATCTGCCCCAAGCCTACTTGTCAAATCACCAACTGTTTCAGTGTCAAAAAAGAATATATCCTACAATAGAGATACTGCAGAATAAGTTAAACAATAAACTAACAGATCTAGAAGGTTATAACTTGATTGATAGAAAGTAAAAAAAAATTTCTGAAAGAAAACAGTCCAATATTTCAGAACCTGAAGAAGAAGTGAAGAGTATAGTGTTTCCCTCATTCTCTTGACCTAAAATATGACATTAAAGGATCCAGTAAGCAATTTGGGGGGGGGAAAGCATGAGAGATGATGGGGCAGAATTGAAAAGGAGGCAAAATCATGAGAGAGAAACTCACAAGAAGCATATTTGCAATGCCAAAACAGCATCCTCGTATACCACTGAAGTCCAGAAACAGAGTATGAGGTCAGCAGCTGTGTCAAATAACTGATTACTCATGAAGTTGGTTCAAATTCCAAATATCAAATATGGAGTGTAAACAATTTCAGAAAAGCTCCATGCTTTGATATTATTTTAACACTTGTAAGCTAATAAAAGAAGAAGGGAACTTTCTCCATACAAGATTTTGACCTGCAAATTCCCGAAACAACACAAAGAAGTACCAAGAGCCGCACATTCTGACGGAACACAGCGACTTCCCCGCTCTGTGCCGTAAATATTGACGCCGTCAAGTAATGCGGTATGGATATCTCCGAAAGCTGAAGCAGCAGCAATGCCAAACAAAGCAACTCGGTAAAACCAAAATCCAGAAAACTCAAATTACATGCCTTAAAGTTTGAAATAAACAAAAAGCACGAACCGCAGCGACTATTAGGGCAGAGAAAGCGGCAAAGATAACCCAACGGTCTCGAGAAACCAAGCCCCACATCCGAGTAAGAGCGCGCACCACAGTCACCGGCTTCGCGAAGATTCTAATTTGAGCTTCATCGGAGAAGCTCCACCAAGTCCCGCCGGGCAAAATTGAGCGGAGAAAAGCGAAGACTCTCCGGAGCCTTTCGAGGAGCTCGACCTCAGATTCTCGGGGATCGTTCTTGTACTCTTCGGCTGCGTAGCCATTGATGGAGGTTGATTTTGGGGGAGAGAAACGAAAGCGTCTGGAATTAGAGTAATGGGGAGAGAGAGAAAGGCGAGGTTTCGTACTGGTTCTGGTTGCGGAGGTGAAATGGTGGAGTTTCTGAGGGGTTAAAAGGATGAGAGGTTGTTTGTGGTGAAAAGAAGAGAGAAGGGGAGGGTGTAAGTTGCAGAGTGGCTTGACCATAGTTGAAGGAGAGAGAGGCATTGGATCAAGCAAAGCTATGGCCTTTGCAGCTTGAAACTCGTTTATATCCAATCCGCCTCTGGTCCTTCGTGTCGTGGAGACCAAGATGTGGAACTCGGGAGGTCACACATCAGCAAGTCAGTCAAGGTTGCGGGCACGCTTAAGAGAAATGGTGCATTTTTGCTCAACCACTTTGACTATAGATGTACTCTCATCACCATCCTCAATGCTTGACAACTGTATAATCATGATTCCATAAATACAAAGCAAAAGTTAACTATAGTTATATTTATGAACACGTGTCAAGCATTGAGAATGAAAATGAGGGTACATCTATGTTTAAAATGATGAGCAAAAATGCATCATAAGAGAAAGCCGTAACAAAAAAATAAATAAATAAATATCCTCAATGCTTGACACCTGTATAATCATGATTCCATAAATACAAAGCAAAAGTTAACTATAGTTATATTTATGAACACGTATCAAACATTGAGAATGAGAATGAGGGTACATCTATGTTTAAAATGATGAGCAAAAATGCATCATAAGAGAAAGCCGTAACAAAAAAATAAATAAATAAATTATTGGAGGCAGACAGTCTTCATGCAAAACGACGACCAGGATGCCGTCGTTTTGGGCTCCAGTGGCGTGTTTCCCTCAGACAAGTCGAGGCTGCTACAGTTGCCACACGGCTCTATCCTGTGAGACGCCACGTTCACATCCTTTCCAACAACATTGCCCTCAACAAATTCAGAATCTTGGTTTACAGCTCAAAAGTTTGAAAATAATTTCCACGCAACTTTAAGGGTATTTTGGTCTAAATAAATCAACGACGCAAATACCTCTCTCACAGTCTTTTCAGCGGGAACCCCATATCTTACTTCTCTCTCTTTATCTCTCTCTCTCTCTGCCTGCCTCCGGCGCCATGGCCGTTGTTCTCGGAAACCTAGCTCTGCTACTAGACGTGTCGTCGCCTAGGACTATAATACTAGACCGGAAGACTCGTCCGGTGGCGCTTGATGCTCTTTTGAATCTGAACTTGAACTTGCCTAAGAAGGACCCTCACAGTCACGCGCACAACGGCTTTATCGTGGCCAAGGGGTTTGACTCGGAGGGGGAGACTCGGAGCCAGCGAGTCGTGGCTCGGGGCAAAGCGAATTCTAAAGTAAATGGCGTGGGCTTTGACAGGGACGAGGAGGGTAACGGTAACGGGAATGGGGAAGATCAGGATCCGTTCGATTGGGAGAAGGAAATGCGGAAGAGGGTGAAGGAGATCGAAGAGAGGAAGGAGTTAGTGAAGAAAGCCGAGGAATTGCAGAGCCAGATAGAGGAGGATTATGAAGACGACGGCAGAGAAGAGACGGAGCAAGAGAAGCGGATGAGAGTGAGGAAAGAGCTGGAAAAGGTCAGTCTTTTATCTCCTTTGACTCTTTCACCTTACTATTTATTGTTTGGTTTTTCGGAAAACAGAGGAAAAGAAATCGTTCTTGTGCTCTTTACTTTTGTTGTTTTGATAAATTCATGCAACCAATCTAGATTGAGATGTATGCATTTGGTTTGGAAAAGTGAAGCCTGATTCTTGAAAGGTCATTTTTTTTAATAAGGATGCTTGAAAGATCATTGCTTTAGATTTGTAGCAAGTTTTTAAATTTCATTGTTGGTGGTGAAATTATGCCCCGCCCAATGGGTAGTTGGAATGAGATTGATTGGTTTATTTTGTATTACGATTTGAGTGCAGGTGGCTAAGGAGCAAGCAGAGCGGAGAGCCACGGCGCAGTTGATGTTCGAGTTGGGGCAGAAGGCTTATGGAAGGGGCATGTACGGTCGTGCCATTGAGTTTTTAGAAGGCGCACTCACAATCATTCCTAGGCCTACGTTATTTGGTGGTGAGGTTGGTTTAGCTTCCCATTGGCTATGACGATCTCCTTTTGGCAATTTTGTTAATGCTGCAACATGTTTGATCAGTGTGTTGATGGAAATTGCTGTCATGGTTTTCAGATACAAATTTGGCTTGCTATGGCCTATGAGGCTAATAACCGCCATGACGATTGCATTGATCTTTACATGCTATTGGAGAAGAAGCACCCCAGTGTCAGCATCAGACGCCAAGCAGCAGAGCTTCGCTACATTTTGCAAGCGCCAAAGCTCAAGATAACCCAAGAGGAGATGGTAACCATACCACTCATTGGTTCTAGTTATGACAGGTATTGGTGCTTTTCACTCAACCATACCATGCATTTTAATGGTTGATTGGGCCTACGGTTACTGTACTATTGTATGTGCACATCTGTGTTTCCTCTGGCAATTGTATGTGCACATTCACTGCCCTCATCGTCAAACGTTAGACCTTTCGAAGCGTAATCGAAACTCAATTACTAAATCCTTGTTTAGACAGTGATACCGAAAGTGTTACCTCTTGAGGAAACTAGTATCAGGATCCATCTGGAAGTTCTCTTCATTAAACATTCGAGTCTGTCTGAAATCAGTGCCTTGGCCTTTTGCCCCACTTTTCAATTGCTGAATTTGTGTCTAGCTTTCCCAACAAACACTCTTTCTTACCACACGAAGCCCCAATTGGACAGGTCAATGAAGTTGCTTACCCTTATCTTAGTCTTCTAGTTCTTGGGAAGCAGGGCTTTTAAATAACATACGGGCTTTGAAACTGTTAGATGTATTTTGTTCATGGCTCAGATTTGGTCATTTCAGCAACTCTCCAATGGTTTCAACTGACTAATGAGGTTTTTGATGCTTGAATAATGCAGCTACGCTGGAACGTGGAGTGATAAATACAAGGACAAGGATGAGAGGAGCAGCGGGACAATAACCAATCAGCTCCCGTCATCGAAAGACTACTTCGGGGACTTTATGGTATGGCGACCTCCAATTGGACTGGAGAAAAACCAAATCTTTTGGATAAGTTTGACATTGTGGTTGGGTTTAGTTGGAGCTGCCCTCTTTCTTCAAAACTGAACTATATATACAAGCTTTAGTATTACTGTATTTGTGAATCATTGAGGTGTTCATCATCTTATTAGTGTAATTATATGTTGTTCATGTAATGTATGTACATTTCATGGTGAAAATATTAAATTTCTCAAGTTCTTTCTCAAAGGCAACTATGTTTTCCCAAGTTCTGTATTTTTTTTTGTTTTTTTTGTTTTTTTTTGTTTTTGGTTCTAAATAATGACCGGCTCGTTAGAGCAATTCCACCGCAGGCCCCCAGCCCAGGCAGGAGGGGCCCTAGGCCCTTCAATATGTTTCCAGCGTTACAAAATAGCCCAGGCAAGGTGTGGGGTCCACGAAGCCCTGGAGGGCCCAAAAGCAAGAACAGTCTAAGATGTTGACGTCAGCAATAAATATTTTTTTGTTGAAAAAATCGAAAAAAATATCATTTCAGATTTTTATTTATATAAATACCTAATTATATTCTTCACTTCCTACACCGAAACTCTATACAAGTTCCTCTCATCATATCTCATGTGAATAGAGGTTGCCCTTGGGTTGCCATGGCAATGGGTGGAAAACCAACAAAAAATTTACCAAGATAGGCACTATTCACTCTTGCCTCCTTTTGCCTTTTGCCACGGCAAATGGGTGGAAATCCTCTTAGAAGCTAGAACATAAAATGTATTATAAAAAATGTAAAATATATATTAAAATAAAGAGGAAAATATGATATTATGGTTGAGCATAAACAATCTATTTAAGACAAAATTATATTGATATGGAAATATACAAAATAAAAACCCTCAACACTGTCAAACGGGTCACGATATATTTTTTATTTTTTTGGTCAAAACGGGTCACGATATATAAACCCAGTGAATGATTGGGCCAAACGACGAGTACAGATCGATAGGGCTGGAAAACAATGAAACCCTAACTCAGCCCAGAGTCCAGAGCCTCATCCGTACCTCAATTACCACATTTATCCTTATTTGAATGGCCCAACCCCCGAATCCATAGGGCAAAAGCGTCAACCCAACATATTTCCACCAAATAAATATCCCAAATCCCAGCCTCACTCAATCTTCTGTGAGCCGCCGAAACCCTAGGTGAGCGAGAGAGAGGCGCAGAGAGAGAGAGAAATGACGACCCGATTCAAGAAGAACCGCAAGAAGAGAGGCCACGTCAGCGCCGGGCATGGTCGTATCGGCAAGCACCGCAAGCATCCTGGAGGTCGCGGTAACGCCGGAGGCATGCACCACCACCGCATCCTCTTCGACAAGTACCATCCGGGGTATTTTGGTAAAGTTGGTATGCGCTACTTCCACAAGCTCCGCAACAAGTTCTACTGCCCCATCGTCAACGTCGACAAGCTCTGGTCTCTCCTCCCCCAGGAGGCCAAGGACAAGGCCACCAAGGACAGCGCGCCGTTGATCGACGTCACCCAGTACGGCTTCTTCAAGGTCTTGGGAAAGGGCGCTTTGCCGCAGAACCAGCCCGTTGTGGTCAAGGCCAAGCTCATCTCCAAGACAGCTGAGAAGAAGATCAAGGAAGCTGGTGGTGCTGTTGTGCTCACAGCTTAGGTTTGGGTTGATTTTGGATTTTTGTCCGTTAGGGTTTTGGATTCAGTTGCTGTTTTTTTGCTTTTAAATTCTGGTTTAGACTCTTGGGCTACATTTATGTTATATTTTGAAAGTTTATCTAGCGGATATTTAATTAATGCTTGTTTTCAGATGAATATGGGCGTTGCTTCATATATGCTTTTGATATGATTGTGGGTTTGTTTCATTTTTAGTACTGGTAGAGTTTTGTTGGTGTTGCTTAATAAATTTTTGTGTGTTGTGATTATATGATTTGAAAAGAATGATGTGGAATTGGTCGCACCGAGCTAGAATCCGTTGATCTTGTTCTGAGTGTTCTTTAGATTCTGTGTCGATCTTTAGGATCAAGGTATTTGCAAATGTGCGATTCGTTTCGGTTATACGCCTGTGGTGTTGAACATCCTCAACTTTATTGCTAGTCATATATACACAAAGTTAGACTTGAGTGTTTCTGGGGTTGTGGCTATGTGCAAGTTTTGGTAAATTTCATCCAACTTGTTATCAATTCCACCATTGTTGTGGTTAGTGGATGTTCTTAACCTGTGCTTGCTATTGCATTTTTCATGTGTTGGTATTATTTATTAATTTGTTTAAGGGGTTCTAAAGCAAGAGCGAAGTCAAATCGAACTTGCTAGCAGTTCAATCATTTATTGGATGGTCTCAATCTGCATTTGTGAATTTTCTTTGGCATTACTTGTATATGACATTGTGTTGGTTACAAATTGGTTGAAAGGGTTCTAGAGGAGTAGTGTGCTGCCTTCATTATTAGATGGATTTAGGCAAGGTTTTTCGGGTGTGTGCTGATGAACCATGTTAAATTTTGGGGACGGCTGCTTCTGCTGTTTGTATGTTGTTTTTTAAAAACATATTTCATATGGATATGGTGTTTCAGAAGCAGTTTCTATATGCTGCTTTTGATATGGGTCGTCGATAGTTTCATTTCCTTCTTTATCTGTGTTTTCTTTAGCAACGAAAATGGGAATAATCTCTGAAAACGATCATATATGAATGAATTCAACTATCAATGTCTTCCCCTGCCACTGATCTCCCGGCCCATCCACATAGGTCAGGCCGATCAGGTACTCAAATTTATTATAACTCAAAATCTCCAGTGAAGGAATAAGCTGCCAATTGTTGCAGAAGATTGATCCCTACACTGAAATGAAAATGGCATTCCGGTGGAGCCGTATTTCTGGATATGACTGTCTTCTTCGTAATTAAATTTTGCCAAACTCTGCACTCTGTTTAATCTAGAGGTTCAAATTTCCACTTTGTTTCCACCGTTGTTCTGTTTGTCATCTGTACCTATATGCCCTCCCCATTTCCTTATCCTATCTTCAGCTATCGAAGCCTGCGTTTCATGACAGATTACGTCTCAGTTTAGAAAATACGACACGAAGTCTTCTTCACTAAGTTGAAGATGTGTAAATTGAAAGGCCCTTACCTCCTTGTTCCAGTTGGTTTTATAAATCATCCCGAATAGGACACAAGTCTGAAGGACTGTCCCCATCAGCATCCCAATCCAAATCCCCTGAAAATGGAAATGTAGTGTATAATTATATTTTGCCAATTGGCTAATAAATATGAAATACTAGATCGAAAGCTGGAAGAGGGCTTGTTGTGAACTCACCTCAACACCCCAGTCAAGCTTGTAACCCATAATTAGGCCCAAGGGAACCCCAATTACATAGTAACAAGCTACGTTCACATAAGCCACTGCAGCTTGCCATCCAGCTCCAATGGCAACCCCAGAGAGAACTGGCTGGATGTTGTTTATGACAATGCAGGTTGCTAGCAATGGTGTGAGCTGCTTCACAAGAGCCTCAACCTCCGAGTCACTCGAAAACAAGGCAGGGTACTCGTCTCTGAAGATGATGAGGATGAGCGAGAGGAAGACGCCAATGAAAAAAGAAGTCACTACGGCCACCACTAATGAGAACTTTGCTGTTCTTGGGTGAGCTGCTCCTAGTTCATTTGAAACTCTCACACTACACACAAAAGTATTTGATTTCAATCAGATTGACATTTTTATGGGTTGTGAAGTTTAGGGACTTGGGTACGTATTTGTAAGGCTTTGCCACTGACCTGATTGCTGCGTTCATGCCCATGGCAATCATCACCGTCCATCCCAATATGTTCATGCTGCAAAGCAAATATACCACAAGAAAAATGAACTTTAAAAAATAAAATAATGATAATAGAAATAATAATTTGACATGTTGCTGAATTATATATGCGTGAGTCAATTCATCAAAGGCATGCCTTTCATCTTCGTGACACCACAAGAGTAAAAAGAAAAAATGAGTTTGTCGACTCGCTTAAGAAACAAAAAGTTCACGTAACGATAATAATAATAATATATAATGTTGGTGGTTCCATCATATTTCCATGGATAAAATTTCTGAATTAATAAGTGGGGCCAGACGAAGAAAGAAGCACTCACCATATGGAGAGGCCATCCACGGAAACTTCTGCATTCTTTAGGTACCCCGCAAATAGAATTAGTGCCATAAAATACCACACTTCCAAACTGCACCAAATTTAAACAAAGATCAAATCAAATGAACTTGTATTGCCAAATAGTTACGACTCCTTCCTTCAACTAAAAAATGAAAGAAAGAATTACGACTAGATCAAGAGTTAGTTAGTATGTCATTTGTTAAGATACATATTGAATTTTTTTACTAATAAAGGCAACTAAGGAAGGCTCGAGCTACATAATTCTCTGACCTACTACCTCCACTCTCACCTACTCTTAGATCTGTTGCTGGCGGAGCCAAAAAATCTATTGAGAGGGGTCAACATCAAATGAAACAAAATATAAAAATAAAATCCTTTGTAAAGAGATCAAATATGAAACATGAGAAGAGTCACTTGACCACTGTGAGCCTTCATTGGCTCCGCCCTTGGCTGTTTAGTGTTTGTGTTGGGCTTTAGCCTTCTTTGTTACCCAGAAAAACAAAGTTAGGACACAATTTAGTTGCCTTATAAATTTAAAAAGTCAAAATTAAAGATCTGACGTGGACATGGGATGGGACCCATGTAGAAAATTAACATAAAAACCCAGACACAACACTTTTTTTGTTATTGTTGTTGGGTAAATAAAATAGAAAATTTAGCAGAAGGTCAATTATGAGAAGAAATATTGGATGCAATACACATAGAAATTATTGTTGATACAAATCCTTTAACTTTTGCCCCGCATAAGATTACATGCATTTTTCCATTTTCGGTTACTTTTCTTTTTTGTTTCGAAATGGGGGAATTTTTCGGTTACTTTACTAGATGTTTCATGTGTTTCATGCTGATAAAGAAAATAAAAAGGGGAAATAAAAAACAAAAGTTATTTAATTATGTTGCTGTAAAAACAATAAATAAATAAAAAACGGTGAGAAGGGGCGTTAAGTTACCAGAGCATGATTGCAGAAGCCAGAGACAGCTTCACAAAACTCCAAAGATTCTGAAACGCCTTCCACGAGAACCCAACCCACGCTCGACCACAAGTCCCTGAAAAGATGTAAACCAACTGTGCCAACACGATGAGCCACCAAGACACGTTCAGCACCACGGCACCACCCACCAGGCCCCACCCGAGCTTCAGCATCAACAGCCAGCTTAACACAGTGTGCAGAACCAGAGCCGCCGCGGCTATGGCCGCCATCACCATGATCTTGCTCTGCGACTGCAGGAACTTCGCTATCGGGAAATTCATGGCGTACGCGAACAGCTGTGGTATCATCCAGATGGCGAACACTCCCGCCGCCTTCGATATGTCGGCGGTCTGCCCTATCAGCCGGAGTAGCTGTTGGGCAAAGATATATAGAAAGCACAAGAGCACGGCCGTCGAGTTCAGGATCACCCATGACCTCTGCATGTATATCCCTAACATGTCCAGCTGTCCCGCCCCGACCGCTTGCCCGCACAGCGTCTCCAGCGCACTCCCCATTCCAAGCTTAAATTATTCAAAATTTAATTTTATGTCAGAAACTGCGGCTTTAATAGAATTTCTCATTTCGTCAGTGACAGACTGACAGTGAGTTAGTAGAAAGGGAGGGTTACGTACCATTACGCCGAAGGAGAAGCCGGCGATGACGGAGTTTTCAATGGAGACGGCGGCGAGCTCTAAGGTACCGACCTGGCCGGCGAAGACTTGGGTGACGGCACCGAGGGAGTACTGGCAGATGGAGGTGAAGATTGCGGGGCCGGCGAGGTACCACAGCTTCTTGGTTTCTTTGTAGAACTCACGGAAGAAGTCGCGGAAGCTGAGGATGGGAGAGATGTCGTCGGCATCGGGAGTGAAGGAGGCGTTGGAAGTGAAAGAAGGGTGTGCGGTTGCAGGGAAGGACTCTAGGTGGTCATGTAGCTGATCTCGATCAGCATCACCAAACTCGTCTGTGGGCGACAGAAGTGGTTGCTTCTTATCCTCCATAGATGAGGAAGACTCGGGAGGGAGAGAGAGAGAGAGAGAGTTATTGTGGTGTGTGTTGTGCGTTGTGTGTTTGGTTAAATTCTTAGGTGGCGAGAAAATAAAAACGGGACTTGTGTAATGTCGATGAAACCCAACTGCATGGAATTTGTATCAAGTGGCTCATATATGCTCAGCGGTCCATTTGGGAGTTTTATTGATTAATTATTTTACTAATTAACTTACTTAGACGGTGTGAGGAGGTTGTGATTATGAGGATGGCCCTAAACTAAGTTATCCCCTCGCATACTTAGGTGTGAGAGGAGGTTCTGATTATATATGGAGACTTTGTTTGGTATACCTTACAGTCTTCCTTTGTTTATGTTCAGTGAGAAAAAGACAAATTTATTTTTTCTATAGTCAAAGTTTTCTGTATATATGTATAAAAATATATATATATAGCAGACCAAAATCTATTGAGGAGATAAACTTTGGGCAGACTGAGACGACTAGTTTGCTGTTTGCCTCAAGAGAAAAACCAATGGGTTGCTGTTTCAACTGTCAACTGTGTCTGTGTGGCGTGGATCTTTAGTAAAATTGGAATGGATGAATTTAGCTCATCATATTATTCATTACCCGACCACATGCAGCAGCAGCAACATACAAGTATTGAAACCTACGCCAATCTTGGCTTTACTAACAATATATATATATATATATTTTTATAGGGGCTCAGATGATGATATATATATATATGTCCAAGAACAAGAAGATGATGAGTGACATAAATATATATGCATGAAAATTGTAATTTCATGAGATCGTGGTGCTTGCTCTTCTCTCCACGTTATATGTATATGCCACCCCCCAACCCCATCTTATATATTTTTGGATATATATTATATAGCCTTCCAACTGAATATAGCTGCATGTTTTTGGATAAAATCAAACCAATAATGATATGTTACGTGAAAATATTATCATGCGTGTCATTAGTGGCGGATCCAGACTTCCGTTCATTTGGGGGTTTAAAAAACAAATCCAACCGATATATAGCCAAACAAAAAATATTTCAAACTTAGAATATTAATAGCATTGTCTAATAAGTAAATGTACAATTGTCCTCGACGACTTTTCATATTATGAAAAAGTTGCATAAAAGCTCATTATCAATACTATTAAATATGACCTTTTCAAGATATACTACCAAGCAATCATTCATCCATGCGAGTGCTTATGGAAAACATTTTCAATATGTTGTTTTTCATTCATTAAGGCTTTACATTTTTTCAGAGCTTGGTTATGGGAATTGTTGGGACCTCCAACATGAACCTGAAATCTTTCCTTTTTCTTTTTCAATTTGAAAAACTTGTACCAACAAATGAGTCACCTCAAGCTTTCTCTCCCAAATTTGTTTTAAAAAGATAACAACATAAGAAAAATGCAACACCTTCTTTGATGCTATATTCCAACCAATAAGGGAATTCATCAAATCATGCCGGGTTGAATCGTCTTGACTCTTTTCCAAATTTCTTTTGAGGGAAATCATGATTTCTAGGTTGACAAGGGCCTTTTTGTAAGTAAGCTCTTCTAAAAATAATTAAAAATATGTGAGTTTGGGTGGGATTATATGACTGAAACGTTTTTGTAAGTATGGGCAAGTGCCCACAGGTATCATTATTGGGTCCACCAATACGTGTAATAGCGCTATTTTGCTATTCCGTTGCCTCATGGAAGTGTTTGTTTGTTGTTGTTGTTGTGTATATATAATCAAGATACTTTACTTTACAGTCGAATATGATGATTGATTGTGTTGGATTCCATTTTTCCCAGAACGTAAGCACATTACTGTATTATTTATTTCATAAGGAAAATATTCTCCAGAATAGGCTCGAGATATTCTCCACTCTAGCAAATAGCTATGTTGATGTTGTGCATGCACTGTAATTAAATTCAATATTAAATTTGGAATTTTGGAGCATCTCATCTCCGTATACTAGACGAGTGCAGAAGACGAGACCAGATGCTTAAGAAATTCATTAAAATATAATGTGCCTGCAGCAACATCAAATATATATAATATGTATTAATATATTTATTGGTAGATAGACAATAAGGCAAGGAGAAAGATTCAAAAGCTTTCTTTCTTTCTTTCTTTCTTTTTTTAAATTTGGATGCTTTTGGAAATGAAGTTTAATTTATAGTGCTTGGATATGGCTACCAGTCAACCCATGATATCGCTGCTGTTGTTTCTACTTTTTTTTTTCTTTCTCAAGAATGGTAGTTGAGTTGAGTTGACCATCAACGTCGCTCATATATCTCAAATCACAGGCCAAATTCGATACCAATGCTAAACCAGCAATTTCTTAGAGCATCCACAATGGATTACCAACGCCCCGAGTCGGAACCTCACTTTGAGCCCAACATATGTTTGTGGGCCGGCTCATTAAAAATTGATTGCAAAGCCCATTCCTATTGGTTTATCATCAAAAACTTTTATGGAATGGAAGTCCATGGACCGGCTAAAAGTTCGTTGCCTTATGACATCCACGTTTGGGAAACAAAACTCTCCTCTTTCATTTAGGCTTTAATAAAACACTCCTCTTTCCTTTAGGAAACAAAACAACAACAGGTTTCCGGTTCTTTGCGTGCGCTATAAAATCCAAAGAAGCCACAAGTTACACAAAGCACTACCCACACTCTTCTTTCTTCTCTTCTATTCTCATACACTGTTTTACGGTTTTCCCGCCGCGGCTTTTCTTATTTTCTTCGCCACTTCCAGAATCTCCGCCACCACGGCGTCTGTGCAAATAGCGGAGCGGCAGAGACAATGGAGAAGATAGAGTCGGATTTGAAAGAGTTCGAGTTGAAGCAGAGGAGCCTGGCCAAGGCGTACGAGAGCGTACATGCGCAAGCGCAAGCTAATTCCTTCGTCATCTTTACCGTGCAGTGGAAGGACCTTGAGGACCACTTTGAGTCGACTCGGAACTCGCTAGAGGCCCGCTTCCGAGAACTCGAGGCCCGGGAGGAGGATATCGGAGTCCGAGAGACCAAATCGGAACCCAAAGATTGGAACTTTTGCTCGGAGATTAGTAAGAACAACTTGCATTCGCTTATGTCATTGATTGAAGAACACAGCGATGAGGTTCTTGTTCAGGAAAAGCTGTTGATGGAGGTTGAGAAGTATGTGAGAGAGAAGGGGATGCAGTTTTATTCGATTGACAAGCGTGTTAAAGAGAGGATGAAGAAATTGAATTGGGTTGAGAAAATCGTGGAAGAGAAGTCGAAATTGGCCGAGTCTAAGGAGGGGGAAGTGAAAGGGTTTCAAGAAGCATTGAACAAGTACGTTGCGTACATTGAGTTGAAAAAGAGGCAATTGAATGAGATTCTTGGGTCGATTGAGAAGCACAAGAAAGAGTTTGATTTGAAACAAGAGCTAATTGAAGCAACGAAAAGATCGATTGAGGAATGTGACAAGGAGTTGATATTGAAAGGGGAGAAACTTAGGTTGGTTCAGAAATCGTTAGTGGAGTGCTCTAATACACTTGAATCGAAAGAGAAAATGATTGGGGAAATAGATTTGAAAGAGAGAGATTTTGGTTTGCTTAAGAAATCAATGGAGGAGCGGTCTTGTGAGCTTCAATTCAAAGCGAGGGAACTTGAATTGATTGACAAGAGGGTCAGTGAACGCCTCAATGAGGTTAAGTTGAAAGAGAAGAATTTGGATCAACTCCAAAAATCGATACGAGATGGCGAGAAGCACTTGGATAAAATGTCTAAGGGACTTCAAATGAAAGAGTGTAAACTTCAAGACCAGGCCAAAGAGCTTGCATTGAAGCAGATAGAAGTTCATTCGATCAAAAAATCCACTGAAGAGCACACCCAAAACCTGATATTGAAAGAGAGGCAACTTGAAGACCAGGCCAAAGAGCTTGAACTGAAGCAGAAAGAATTTGATTCAATAAACAAATGCAGTGAAGAACAGACCCAAAACCTGAAATCGAAAGAGAGGCAACTTGAAGACCAGGCCAAAGAGCTTGAACTGAAGCAGAAAGAATTTGATTCAATAAACAAATGCAGTGAAGAACAGACCCAAAACCTGAAATCGAAAGAGAGGCAACTTGAAGACCAGGCCAAAGAGCTTGAACTGAAGCAGAAAGAATTTGATTCGATAAACAAATCCACTGAAGAATACTCCCGAAACCTGAAATCGAAAGAGAAAACTAATACCCTTCATTCTCAAGTGAAGATTGAGCAACTGGAACATATTCCTTCCAACAATGCCTTTGTTCCTTCTTCTGCAAGTAATCAATCCAGCATAAATGGGGACGGTAGAGGCTTGCAGTTGTTAGTGAATGGGCAGTTGAAGAGAATTGCTTTAGTGGGTAGTGAAATCTCAGCTGTTCTTGAGGCCTCATTGGACCAAGCAAAATTGGTTTTGGATGCAATGCAAGGGTTTTACCCCTCAAATTCGACTCTAGGCAACAGGGAATGTGATTTTGATTTGGGAGTTATTAGGAGGAGTTGTATTCTTTTGTTAGAGGCTTTAAAGAAAGTCTCACCGCAAATTAATCCTCATGTGAGAGAAGAAGCAATTAAGTTGGCGGATGACTGGAAGGCTAAAATGACGGTGGCAACAGAGAATTGGTTGGAGATTTTGGGTTTTTTGAGGCTTGTTACTACGTATGAAATCACGTCTTCTTATGATGAGAAGGAGCTTCAAAGTCTTATTGCTATAGTTGCTGAGTATGAACAGGCAACTGAATTATCCCAGGCTCTTGGTAGCACAGAAAATGCATCTGCCATCATCATTTGTTCCCCCGAGAAACCAGAATCTTCACTGGCCAAAAATGCAGTAGCTGTTTCTTCTCCGAATCTTCAACTAACTGCTACCACAGATGCAAGGAATTTGCAGGGGTTTCTACATGAGCTTGCGAGAGGGAATCATTTAATACAGAATGAAACTTTGGCTGCTCTTCAGACGTCATTGGACCCAGCAAAATTTGTGCTGGATGTGATGCAGAATTCTTTTGCTCAATACTGGGGAGACGGAGATGTTCCTTCTAAAGAAACTGTCATGTTGAGTTACATTAACCTGTTGGAGCAGCTAATGGGTGTCTCACTGCATGTTGGGCTTCATGTGAAGGACGATGCGGAAAAGCTAGCAATCCAGTGGAAAGCAAAAATGGGAGCTGATACTCAAAATTCATTGGAACGTTTGGGTTTTTTGCAGTTTATTGCTACATATGGGTTGTTTTCTACCTTTACTAGAGATGATATTGCACCGCTTCTTGGGAGAATTTCTCAGGATAAACAGACTAGAGAATTATGTCAGAAACTCAGGTTTGCAAATAAGATCCCTGCACATTTTATTATGAATCTTATTGAAAGGAGGCAACTGCTTGAGGCTGTAAGGTTGATTTGCACCTTCAAGTTCATTGACATTTTCCCCCCAATACCACTCTTAGAGAAGTATGTGGAGAATAGAAAGAACTGGAGGTGTAGAATTTGCAAGAGAAAGAACTCACTAGATAAAAAGGATAAGGTTTTAGATAATGATATTACTGATTTAAGAGCTGTGATTCAGTGCATCAAAGATTGCAAGCTCGAGTCTGAATACCCATCCGGGAACATTGAAATACAAATAGCAGTGCTTGAGAAAATAAAGGAGGATCGAAGAAGACGTTCAGCAACATCTCTTGCTTGCAAAGTTGGGCAACAAGAGCAGAAGAAATCTCTTCCCTCCAATGTTGAGCAACAGGAGCAGAAGAAATCTCTTCCCTCCAATGTTGAGCAACAAGAGCATAAAAATTCTCCTGCCTCCAAGATTGAACAACAAGAGCAGAAGAAATCTCTTCCCTCCAATGTTGAGCAACAAGAGCAGAAAAATCCTCCTGCCTCCAAGGTTGAACAACAAGAGCAGAAAAATCAGGTTGAACAACAAAAGCGCACATGGGATCAAGTGCATCAACAGCAACAGCATCAACAGCATCAACAACAACAACAACAACAACAACAACAACAGAAACAGCAACAAAATCCAAATAAATTCCAACGAACATCAGGATCAGCTGCTACACCCTCTCGAATGCCAACTTCCACTCCTGACTACTATCATCAGCATACAAGTTTGCCAACTTCGCAGCATGAGAATTATAGTCACCCTGGGCAGATTGGTATGCCAATTTGGCAGTTTGGTATGGCTGCGGCCAACCAATATGGAATTGGTGCTAAATGGGGACACCCTGGGCAGTTTGGTATGTATGCCAACAATTACGCAAATGGTGCAATGCTACATTCTGGAATACATCAGCCGTATCACTTCACCCCCAGCCCTCCTACATTTGGCCCTTATCAACCCTATAGCTAGTATCAACTGCGTGTGACTGCCTTCAGATACAACAAATTCTTAATTTAAACAACGTCTTTGTATAATCTTGATATCTCACTATTTAGTTTCTTAACTACTGACTTTGTTTTACAAGGTATAAAGGCAATAAATAGAGTTCGTACAATTTATTCTTTAGTATTAATACAGATTTTGCTGCTTGTATTGGTCTAAAGGGGAATGCTAGCAACCTTCTCTCTTCTCCTCATGGAAATGTGTCACTTTCTCTACACTTAAAACAATATCAATAATACATTAGAATGTATCTTTTGTTTCCCAAATTTACCCTTATTAAATGCATTGGACAAACTAACTTTTGTTTCCACTTTTTTTAAAAAAAAATTAAGGGAGAATTAACATCTTCCACAAAATTAATCGTCAGTTAAAAAAAATAAAATATGTTTACTCTTTTCTTGGTGAGGGCAGGGGGGGATGAGTTTTTGGGTATGGAATTGGAGAGAGAGGGAGAGATACAGTG